TTTGGTTTTGACTCCAGTTCTATACACATTTCATTGCAACAGTTTGCTTTGTCTTTGTAGTTGCCCTTTGACATCCTCTCCAACTTTTACATCATTTCTTCCTTTTTTGCATCTTTTTAATAACCTTTTGTTTTCTTCATGAATGTTTGATTTCCTCTCACAGCTTGCTTGGTCATTGATCACTCAAGTGAGACAAACTGAAAGTCATTTAGTTCTTGTGCACTTGTTTTCATTTCCTTCAGTTTTAACTTGCACATGAGTGATCAATGATCTGTTCCAGTCAACACATGGTGTGGTTTTGAATACCGATCTTCTCAATAAGTCTTTCAGGTTAGGTACACAGTCACCATTTGTCGTTTTAAAATAAAGTATTTGCAATGAATAAAAATTCAGTGCTCTGCCTCACTTCAGTCATTAAATTCATAGTTCTGTTCCCAACTTTGGTGCTCCAGTCAGCAAATATTAAAAGAATCTTGACTGCATGTTCCAGTTCAGTCTGCAAAAGTTGGTAGAAATCCTCATCTTTGGCTTTAGTTGTTTGTGTATCTATTAGTTGTAGAAAGAGATCTTCCTTTTATGTGCATGGACAGTATCCCATCGCTCACTGTACTATACTTCAGGATGGATTTTGAAATGGTCCTTTTGACTGTGAACCCATGGGTTAGATTCCAGCATTTCATTCTTTTGAATCACTTACATTCTTCATAACGGATTAGACAAGTTTTTTTCCTCACTTCTATGTATTTTTTGTAATAATTTTAATGAACCTTTACAGAGAATTTGGATTTCCATTCATTCACTGCTGCACTTCTCTACCCACCCAGCCCTCTCGCCCCGCCCCACAGTTTGCTCCTCTCTTTCAAAAGACTCCCTCCCTGGTACACAATCCCCCTGCACCCCTCCCACCGCCCCAAGTACATTCCACTATACAACCTTAATCGTGGACTCTTGTGATAACCATAAAGTTTTTAAATTAAAAAGGTCACAAGCTAGGGGGAACCATGTGAAAAAATTTGAGACTCATAGCTAACTTGATCTTTCCAGGTCAGTTCATATAAAAATCCCAAGGGTTCACCCAGCACTCCTTCAAGCTTCCCACCACCCCACACCTACACCTGCCCCATGTTTCTGCCACATGCTATATGGTTATTAGGTGCCAGAGAGATGGTTTCAAATTATAGCAACCCTCTGTACAAAAGGATGAAAATGGCACTGCCCAATCCTGTGTCATTCCTTCCATCTTGAGTTTATAATTTGCTTAATCTGTAGTCACGGAATGACAAAGCAAAATATTACAATGAAATGTGCGAGGAGCTGGAGTTGGAAAATCAAAAGGGCCGAACTTGTTCAGCATTTCTTAAGCTCAAGGAACATTAAGAGCAAATTCAAACCTCAAGTTGCTACAATCAAGGATGCTTTAGGCAGAATGTAAAATGATCCAGGAGGTATCAAAAGATGGAAGGAATATACTGAGTCATTGTATTGAAAGGAATTGGCAGATACAGAATATTTAATGAAATAGCATTTGAGCCAGAGCCTATGTTGATGAAGGCAGAAATTCAAGGTGCTTTGAAGGAACCAGCAAAAAATAAGGCCCCCGGAACAGATGGTATACCAATTGACATATTTCAGCTAACAGATGCTGCCGTTGATGTGCTCACCAAGTTATTCCAAGAAATCTGGAGAACAACTTGGCCAACTGACTGGAAGAGGTCTATATTTGTTCCCATCCCAAAGAAGGGCGACCTAACTGAGTGTGGAAACTACAGAACAATATCATTGATTTCACATGCAAGCAAGATTTTATTGAAGATTATCCAAAAACGACTGGAGCAGTGTATCAGCAGAGAACTGCCAGAAATCCAGGCTGGGTTTAGAAGGAGTCGTGGTACTAGGGATATTGTAGCTGATGTTAGACGGATCTTAGATGAAAGCAGAGAATACCAGAAGAATGTCTATCTGTGTTTCATTGATTATGCAAAGGCATTTGCCTGCGTGGATCATAACAAATTGTGGCTGACTCTGAGAAGAATGGGAATCCCAGAACATTTAATCGTGCTAATGCAAAACCTATACTTGGACCAAGAGGCAGTAGTCAGAACAGAGCAGGGTAACACTGCATGGTTCAAAATTGGGAAGAGTGTACGCCAGGGATGTGTCCTATCTCCATACCTTTTTAACCTATATGCAGAGCAGATTATCCGAGAGGCTGGGCTCTATGAGGAGAAGCGTGGCGTTAGGATTGGTGGACGATCTATCAACAATCTCCGCTATGCAGATGACACAACTTTGCTCGCTGAAACTGAGGAGGACCTCATGCACTTACTCCAGAGGGTCAAGGACTGCAGCCTTCAATATGAACTGAGGCTCAATGTCAAGAAGACAAAAATTCTCACCACTGGACTAATCGGTCACATCAGGATGGATGGCGAAGAGATTGAGAGTGTTCACAGTTTCAGTTTGCTCGGCTCCCTGGTCAACACTCTTGGCACCAGTAGCCAGGAAATCAAAAAACGTATTGCAATGGGAAAGTCTGCAGTTAGGGACCTCTCTAAAGTACTCAAGAGCAACGGTGTCTCTCTGGAGACTAAGGTGCGCCTGACACAGGCCATAGTTTTTTGCAATCACTTGTTATGCATCAGAGAGTTGGACAATGACTAGGGAGGATAGGAGAATTGACACCTTTGAGCTGTGGTGCCAGAGAAGAGTATTGAATGTACCATGGACTGCCAAGAAAACAAACAGATTCATCCTAGAGAGGGTTAAACCAGGCTGCTCCTTGGAGGCAAGGATTCTGGGGCTTCGTCTGACATACTTTGGACATGTTGTAAGGAGACACAGGTCTTTAGAGAGGGACATCATGCTGGGTAGAGTAGAGGGACAGCGCAGGAGGGGAAGGCCCTCTATGAGGTGGATTGATTCAGTGACTGGGGTAATCAGGATGGGTGTGCTGGAGGCAATGCGACTGGCACAGGATAGAGCACGGTTTAGGGCTGTTGTACATAGGGTAGCTTTGAGTCGCAAACGACTCAACGGCACATAACAACAACAACAACAACTAATCTGTAGTCAGCAACATGTCAAAAATATTAACTATTGTTAAAATTTCCAAAACTTTCTCCCACAGGATTATAAGGAGAACTCTGATGGACTGGATACTGGGCTAACATTTAACATGTTTTTCATAGCAGAACTTAAATATTAACTCATCACTTAACTATACCTGACAATAGCAAAAATTATTAAATGAATCACTGGAATTTAATCAGGGCAACACAAACAATGCATGCAGCCTAGAAAATGGATAGAAGGAAAAAGAAACTGCAGAACAGATGAACTTTCAAACATTTCTAGGACAATTAAACAGGTCATTTTTAAGATTCTTAAGTATATTCATAAGTCATTTGGGAAGGCAAAACCACCTTATTTTGGACTCTGCAATTTTAATTTCGATTTCTAAGAGGATGCAGGCAAAATGATAAAGATGGGTGGACAGTATAATCACAATTAAATCAGTAACAGTTAATGCTTATTGAAAGTTTGGTCAATCCTCACAACACACATCTCATTTTTACAAATGAAAAAAAGTCACAGGGAAACAAGGCTAAATGGCATCAGTGATATTCAAGTCTAGCCTGTCTGCCTCCAGAGCCCCACTTTTGACCACTATATATTCAGTGGAATCCAATGAATGGTTACGATAAAAGAAACAGGAGAGAAGCAGAAAACATTTCATGTATCAACAGAAAACATGAGCCATTAAATTATGTCATGTTACAAGAGTGAACTAAGCATCCCCAGATCAACACAACAAAGAGATCAATTAATTTTGCAATTAACAAAAAGCTGGTAAATAATTGCTGGTGAATAACTATGTATTTCTATCTAGTGTTTGATAATGCCTAAAAACATATTCCTTAAAATTTGAACGCATGCCAAACAACGCAAATTTTTTTTCAACCACCTACTACTACAAAGAATAAAGCATATTAGGGAGCTCTGGGGGGCCTAGTGGCAAGAAGCTGCACTGCAATCTCAGAGGTACACAGTTCAAATCCATCAGATGCTCTGCTGGAGGAGGGGCAAGCTCCTCCTGTACCAGTCAAATCCAATTTGACAGTACACACACACACAAAGTAATAATAAAAAATTAATTTTTTTTAAAAAAAGCATATACTGTAACTGAAATGAAACCATTTTCTCTCATAATTACAGGGCCAATGATTATTCCTCCAAATTTGGCCTATTTTCAACACATTTATGAATAAATGTGATATACTTGTTATCTCTTCTACAGACAAAAAACCCAAACACTACCTTATCCTATACCATATCCACCACTGCTGCTCTGCCTGAGCTCACTGCTGCAACCATGTTAATCTTACAATGTGATTAAAACAGTGGTATATTTATAAAAAGGAAAAAATAGTCTATATTCAGACCATTAAGGAATGCGGAGAACCTCAAAATCAGAAATTACATATAACTAAAAAAATTAAAAAAAGAGAAAAAAAAAAAAAAAGAAATTACATATAACTAATTTTTAAAAAATAGATTCGAAGCAGTCATCAATATAAATGCTTAATTTTTTTAAACACCTGTAGAGCTTGACAAAATTGTTCCAATGTTTGAATTATGTTCATAAAGATGGCCTCATTCTTCTAATCTCTTTCCTGTTTTTGAGATTAAGTAGCAATCATTTCAAAAGTTCACAATTTATTTTTATGTAGATCATTTTCACCTTTTGTTATCACTCCTAACCCAACATTAACTTGCATATCAGCAACTGGATTTGAATACTTCTCTAGCAACATTCTTATCTTGGACATTTGAGATTGGTCTGGGATATATCTCTAGTATTCAAGTGCAACTTAAATGGTATACTTTGTTAAAATACACCTACACATCACAAGTAATAAGCTGTTGGTTTTAAGAAAAATTCCTTATTTTTACTTTAGTTGTGTGAAATGCAAGCAGTAAAAAATATTTTAAAGATTAAATTAGGGACATAGATAAATAAATGCTGCAGACATCAGTAGTTTATTGTATGTTTAGTCCAAACACATTCAAAATGGAAACCCAAAGAATACTTTCCACCTAAAACAATGAACTAGATTCTACTAGCATATAATGCTTAACACATTACAGCAATAAAGATGGTAATCCATTATCTTCTATACCTACTAAAGCCAAGATGGTAAAGTCAATTTGGTTGCAATAGTGTCAAAAGGATAGATTATTACCATCAAAAAAAAACCCCCAAAAACAAACAAAAAACCAAAATCAGCAAATAACAGTAATGGTAGATGATTATTTTTGCTCTGTTTCACTGAAAGGGGGACATAATGTTAAAAGTCCACAGTACTGCAGGTGAACAATCACCATGTAAACTTCTCCGTATGATGTTTTATTCACGGTATGTAAAGACTGAAGCTGAATGGCTCTTTGCTCTAATTTTTCATTACACTTAGTTATCTGTCATTACTTTTGGTGCCAAAACATAGTTATATAGTTTTATGAGTAGCAGGGCAATACATGGGATAAGGAGGGAAGGAGTCTAAACATTTTATATATAGATATGATGGAAAGAAACAACAACAAGAACAAAAATACCCCACTAATTTTGGGGGTAAAGGGGTAAGAACACTGACAATAAGCCACTTATTTAAAAGCAGTTTGAATAAAGGCTTCAAAACTCAAAAGTAAGCTTCTAGTGAAAACTTCAAGTACTATACCTAACATCTGAATATGTAAAACTTTCAAACAGATGAAAAAAAAAAATCTTTAAACTCAAAAAATAGAAATATGTGTCCTCAAAACTATATCCAATAGTGCAATACAACTTTTCTTCAAACATGGAAGACCTCATTAAAGGGAGAAAAAAAGATTTCACTTTAATCATATTGCCCAGAACATGAAAAATAAAATGTTATCATTTGCTAATTTACTAGACAGTACAGTTACACAATTAATTCCTATCTAATTTGCAAATAGGGCAACTGCAATTTGTTTTTAACCAATATAGAATGGAGAAGTCTTCCATGCTAACAAAGCAGCTTTAATAGTCACACTTATTTATCCCACTCCTAACCCAAAACATCAGAAACTGGTACGTACTGCATGCTCCAAGCATAAAATTAGATATCCTTCACCATACCTGTGATTTACTGGAGCTTGCTATAAAGACAGACAATAATCCAGCAGCTACAAACGTTGCTCACAGAATTGTTTAAAGATTCATGTAAAAATAAAAGATGTCATCCCAGACTTAAATTTAGAGCCACTCGGGTGCTGACATCAGTTCAAGAATTGTGCAAAATGAATGACAGTTCCCTGCCCCCAGTAGAAAATTCGAACACTTAAAGAGCTGCTGTGAAAATTGCAGTATCCTCTATTCAGGCTTACTTGCCATTTATGGAATCTGACTGCTTTTAAAATGTCACTAAAACTGTACATCACGTTGACTGACTTTTCAAAGCACCTCTCAAGTCATACACTTCAATGTTCAAATTCTTGTTGAGAAAGTCAACTAGAGTCATACTCAAAAAGTTGACTTCCTACTTCCCTTTCCCTCCCAAACACACAACTCCCCCGAACAGAGAACACAACATTGTTAACAAAAAAACGAAGTAAATAATATGCTAGTTAATTTTACTGATTTTAAAGATACTGCAATTTTTATACACTTCAATGATTTTTCAATATTTTGCAGCTGTTTGGCTTTGCAGCACAGCAATTCATACACTATACTGTACAAAAATTACCAGCAAGACTGGAATGATGTATTAATAGAAGGCACCATCATGCTTATTACATTACCAGAGAACAAAAATACAGTAAAGACAATTTTCACTGTACACAGCTTAAAGAAAGGAAAAGGGGTAGGAGGAGTGTGTTGAGCAGCCAGCCATCCCTGTACTGAAGAGGGGCAGGTAGAAAAATCTTAGTTATGGAGCTATTAAACCTGGTCTAATATTCAAAGACCATAGTTTTGAAGTTCTGAATTATGTGTTATTTAGTTCATGACTAAATGACTTCCTTCTGGAATATACTTGTAGTCTTGTTAAGGTTTATGTGTACACACGCTGGTCACAGCAAGCAGATAAAATGCCCTCATTTCTTTCACAACTATTCTCTACTGGAAAAGATGATGAATTTTTTCCCCCCTGTTGCCTCTTGTTGCAGATGTCAATAGTAATGAGTTGAGAGTACCCATTAGTACATTCTGATGAGTGGATAACAAGTTTCTGTTCATTTGTATTTCTGGGGGGAGCCAAGAGGAAAAAAAAAGGGCAAGATTCTCCAATTGCACAAATTGCACACTATTTGTGTTTCCAACATTAATAGGCAGAAACAGTAACACTTAAAACAAAATGTGCAGCGGAAGATTTGTTTTTAAAACGCAAAGGGCCTGAATTCAGTTGGATCTGTCCTTTTAAGTTCATTTTGTTGTAGATTAAGATATGGTCATTTCTCAGTCTGTAATTCTCCAAGTCTAGTTTTATAAGTTAACCATGTGACTCCTGTTGTGAAATTGGGGAAATAATGTCCACTTCAATTTAACTGATAACCAAAAGATGCTTTTCACATCAAAGAAATGATAAAAAAGGCTGTGTCACATTCCAAAGCCAAAAAAAAAAAAAAAAAAAAATTAACAAGAATGCAAACACGATGATAATGTACCACTGCGCCAAGGCTTTGCCAACAGTGGAACTTCAGCGACGCTGTCCTGTGAAGCGGCCTTCCATTTGCCCAGTTCCTCTTCCAGAGCCAAGTTTCTGTGCCATGCCACCTCTTGGGGGAGGTCCTCTTCCATCACGGTCTCGCATCATGCCACCACCCACTATTCCACGTGGACCACCAGGGCCTCGATCATTGTGCCGTATATCCCTGCGATCATCACCACCACCTCTGGTTTCCCGCTCTCTTGCTGCTCTTGTTTTTTTCTCTTCCACATTTAAGCGTACTTCCCCTCGAAACATAATTGGCTTTAAAAGAAAGGAAAATATTTAAATGGGTGTAAGTTAGGCAATAAGGAAATTAATTACTTTGCATAGATAACTAGAACGTTTTAAGAGAGGAAAAGAAACTGTCATAAAATTGCTAATCTGCAATTTTTCCCAACACTCATCACAATAGAGTAAAATTATCTGCATACTTTAATTCTTTGCATAAATACCATTTTATAACATTATTTTAAATTTTACAATTAAAAATATTCTTTGGTTTTAAAATACACTAAAGTAAAATAATATGTAAGAGAAGCAAAGTCTTGAATTACGCCCTGTAAGTCACTTACTTTTGCAATTAAGATTCTCTGAACTGGTTCAGAGTCATCAAAAACCACAAAGCCAAAATTTGGAAGCTTTCCCCCAACACCCTTGGTATTGATGCGAAGTTCCACAACGTTTCCAAAACCTGAAAAAATATATATACATTATGTCAGGGTTAAATATATTAACAGAAAACAGTTCAGGATGAATAACCTGAATTCCCTTGATACATACAGAAATAAAAGCTGCAAGCTGCTGTACCCAGTGACAACTAAAAGATACATGCATTCATATGGACCACAAACCTAACAGATGCTGGCCTGCCTGCTTGGTTAGCTACCCTTTTGCTTATCTATTTGTCCCTGCACTGCCAATTCAATGGCAAACAGAATGAATCCATCCCCAGCTCTGGAAGAGAAATATGGACAATCTCCTCCCATGCCATTTATTGCTTCTCAAAACCCACTGGACAGTCAACTGTGAGTAGGTCTGAACTTCATGGCACACAACAACAACAAAGTTTTAAGAAGGTAACATATCTTTTCTTATTTCTGAATTGTATTTGCTAAATGAGTCCCTGTTAAATGAGTCCCATCTTAGAATTTAAGACTACTACTTCCAGCTGTTTTGTTTAGCCTCTAATGAAAGAGGCCAAGTTAACAAATTAAAAACATTTGATACACTATTTCATTTAGATCTCTAACCAATTAGGGTAAGGCTGGCAGTTGAATATATACACATAGAACAGAGAGATCAATCTTGTTTAAATAACTGAATATGAAAGAAGTTCTGTATTTCTGCTAACTTTTAAAGTGACACAAACATAAACCACTTACTCATAAAAAATTCTTTCAATTCATTTTCATCAATATCATGTGGCAAGTTACCAACAAAGAGTTGATGACTGTCTGGATAGCGGATTATTCTACGGCTGTCAGATTCATTCTGTTCAATATCGCCCCTGCCTGAGAATAAGAACAGAGCAGATATAACTTTATAAATCTACATAAAAAGTAGTTCAAAGCAGTGAATGTTGAAATCATTTAATAGTGATAATCTTATTTTCGTTTAATAAGTTGGTGAGCTCCTTGAACAGAGGTGGAAGTACCTATTATTAGTAGGTTAGTTAGAAAATAACATGACACTAAACTGAAAGTGAAAGTATATGACTAGATTGCTAAAACCCCTTCTTCTGGAACTAATTGTCTGAATATATGAAATCAAGCATTAGTGGTACAAGTGTTTCTCCATAACCCAACTGTTGCCATCAACCAAAAAACTGACTGTGTGCTATATTTGTGCTAATTAGTTTAGTCCTTTGAGATTCACAAATTAATAATAATAGGTTCCATGAAATCAGTAAATTTTAGTAGTATCTTATTTATGTGGTCTTTTATGCTAGACACACACAAACCTGTTTATCCATATGAATGAGACAGGCATCACACAAAAAAATGTGTACAAAGCTTTGAATCTAAAGGTCTCACTCAAGATGAAAATTTAAATCAATGGCAAAGCTGGAACAAATTTCAGCTCCCATGATTTCAGGATTAACAACACATCATGTATTTTGAAAGAATAATTGCATGTTTCAAATTTGAGGCATACTACTTCCCATCTCCTCCCCAAAGCAATCTAAACATACTTATATAGAATTCAAATAGAAGTACTACATACATCAGCTAACATTGTAAATGAGTCAAAAATCATGGCAACTTACTTAATACCTAAGACAATCAAAATAAGAAGAATCAGGGTGTGCTTATTGTTATCTGTGAAGAGATAAGAGCGCTAAGTAAGAGAGTAGGTTATTGGCAGCTCGGTTTGAATTCTTAGAACCAGTGACAATAACCAAATACATTCTCCATGGCATGCGAACCAGTGTTCCCTTAGAAGTTGGTTGTTTTACCCCAGATTACAATGTGAACTAGTTATTAAAATCTTCAAGCAATTTAGTACTAAAGACCTTTATATAATATACATTTAGCTTTTTAAAAGTTCAGTATTTTCTTAATTTTTCAAGTACTAAACTCCAAAAGTTCTAACAGGGATTGGCTCACCAGGTCTTGGTCCTCTAGGAGGAAAGCCAGGTCTTTCCCGGGGTCGCTGTTCACGAACACGAGGTGGCTGAGACTGAACTTCTGGTTTAGTTTCAACTCTTGGCTAAAATATAAGGAAAACCCCATATTACTAAAGAAACATTCTATAGAATGTTAATCTAATTAAAGCAAGGATCAACAAATTACTAGGAAGCCTAACAATAACTTCAAATGTTTTAATAGACTGTCCTATGTGTGTGAAAAACAAGATAATTCTGTACCAATCTAGGACTGTAGGGTAGGTTTGGTTTTCCCACTCCAGGCTGTAAACTCACAATGAGATCCTTTCTATAATTGTGTGTGTGTGTGTGTGTATTCCTAGAATCCTCCCCCCAAATAAAACTACATCAGAGAGAGCAAATACCATTCTGCCAAATATCACATATAAAAAATGCAAAAATGAGCCACCCTATGTAAAAGTGTATGAAAATTTTTAGATTATCTTTATCTTAGACAAAAGTCTATAACACAGTTACTAAATATATTTTCTTGCCTTTGAAATTCATGTCCAGCAATATCTTCTCACTCTGGAGAAAATCTTAAAACCAGTAATTTGATAGATCAATGTGTAATTTAGTCTACCCTGCTAGCAAAGTATACTATTTTTAATATTAAATTTAAATGCATGTAAAAACTGATAAGAACTTACAAAAAAGCATCTGTTTATGTAGCATCTCAAACAATAAAAGATGTTCTTTAGATTCCCTACTATACTTCTTCCTTATGTGAAATATGTGCATTTATTTAACTGCATTTTTGAGGGGTGGGGTAAAAAGGGAATAAGACACTCTAAAGAGATCTTCAAAGGTTTTGCTAGTAGCTGACTTAAAGACATAACTATTTTTAAAACAAAGGAACATTCTCAATTGTGATACCTTTCCCTTAAAAGTTTCCGCTTTCTCTAACTTCTTTAGTTATACTACTACTACTCAAATATATTACGGCTCAATAAAGAGACAAAAATATATGAACCTAAAGAAAATAGGTTAAAAAAATAAATAAATGCATGAACCTTCAAAGCCCAGCAGAATATGGAGAGCATAATGTTCTCAATCAGAAAGCTAGACATCCCAGCTCTGTCTTTTGGGGGGATGTCTGAGGAACTCAGCCCAGGTAATCTCAAATTTTTTTTCTTCATTTAGATAACTGAGATCATTATGGTTGTTGTGTACCAATCCACAGCTGACCCCCTGGTGGATTTTCAGAGGCTGTTGTTAACTGCAGGGGAGGAGACTGCCCACCCTTCTCCCACAGAGCAGCTGGTGGCCTGGAACCGTGTGCCTTTGAGATTGTAGTGCAGTTTCTTGCCAGTAGGCCATCAGAGCAGAACTAGTAAGAATAAATTTTTATATAACTTAATTATATTTATCTTTTTAAAATGACAATTTATTGTAAATTATTTCAACCACTGTAACCTAAAGTGTTAGGTTAATTAATTTCTAGCCTAAATTGTATTTAACACATTTGCCCAAAACAAACCAGTCCCCTACCATGTAGATTTCCCATTTCAAGATAAAACTGTGCCCCTTGTTATCTTGTTAAAACACAAGGGAAAATTTTATTTTGTTAAGAAGAAATTTAACCTGCATCAATTTTGAAAATATCTTTACATATTATTCTTACAAAGGCCATATCCCAAATTGCTACACACAGTGCCATTAGACACAGATTTTCAGTAACTAAAATTTTAGGTCTCTGATATAAAAAATGTAGAAGAATGTTCTATGCTTGACAAAGGACAGTTGTTACCTGTATTTACAGTATAATACTATTTAATAACCTGGCATAAGATGTGATGCATAAAAAGACAGTTATTTCAAATGTCAACTAAGAGGGCCCGAAAAACACACCTTACCTCAACATGAGTGTAAAACAAAATGAAAATAAATGTACAAAAAAACTGTATAAAACTGTAACTTTTCATTTGAAAAGATCAGAAAAATATCATTGAATTCAAATATTTTAAATTAAAGAACTTGGGACCCTAGCTGACTTAATTTCCTTTCAAAAGACATTACCAAAACTAAAGTAACTACAAGGAGCAAAATGAAAAATTCTTTGTCAACTTTTAAGAGGAATAGTTAAATACAAATAATGTCTAACATTTTACAAACAATCCATACCATTAATTTAGCACCTTGACTTTCAGTAATTACATGATGCCATGCAGGAAAGTCCAGACTAAAAACCTAGCAATGTTCCTTTTGATAATGAACTAACATGTCCAAATATAAAGTTCTTTCGACTACTCCAGATGAGCACTATCTTTGAAGCCTGACATGATGCAACAAGTTATTCAAACAGATAAATGGCTAACATACCAAAACTCTCAAAAGTCTTTAATAATGTTATATCAGCAAAATGTATGCTCAAAACAAAACCCAAAAATGAAAAGTCACATAAAACCTCAACTCACCAATAACATGTATGACCAAAACTAATAAACAAGTCTTTGGATTAAACAGAAACTGTTTAGATGAACTAGTCAATTTGCAAATAATCTTTCACAAAGCAGTACTCTAGTATTAGATTTAATTATTTAATAATAATTTATCTTAAAGATGTAAGGGAACTAATACTATGCCAAAGTAATAAAATGAAATTTAGAGGTTTTATTAAATCTAGTGGAAATATCATTAATTTGGTCAAAATAAAATGTAGCTTAAAGAGATTCAAAAGATTTTAGAGGTTTTTATGTTAATTATTCAAAGGTTTGTTTTTAAAAAGGAAGGTGGAAATGAGGAAATACAATCTACTTCCCTTGTAATTTAAGAAGTAACTTGGAAACACTAAAATCAAATATATATATATGCCCGATTATACTTCTGGGCAAGAGGACTTAAATGTAATTTAGGAGTGGCCTTATATATAATGGGGAGCTCTGGTGGCCTAGTCCTTAAGGAACTGCAAGGCTAAACCAAAGGCCACACCTCTCTGGCAGTTCAAATCCACAAGCAGCTCCAAGAGACACGGGAAATCTATTCCTGTGCAATTTATAGCCTCAGAAACCGAACAGAGGGTTAGCTATGGAAAGTCTGCCCCGACTTGATGGCAATGAGTTTAAGTTGCTTTTATTAAATAAATACATATAATATACTCTTCTTTAATATAATTAGTTATATTCTCATCCAAACAGGGGCTTAAGAAAATCTGGACCTTTGCATTAGCCACATATACTCTGGTGTCACATTATGTGACTTCAAAGATCAGTTCTTAATACAACTTATACAGCTGTCTTATTTTGAATACATACTAAACATAAGTTCTCAATTTCCCTATCTGTAAAACCCTCACAAGGGGGCAGTGAGGATCAAATGACAGTGAATATAAAGTGCTTGCCTTTTAAAATGCCAGCCAAGGGCATAATATACATTAACTAATTTCTAACTACTAAGAAGTTAAAACAGAAACACAGCCAACGCCATGAAATCAAGTAATAATTTAAAGGATTCTATAAATAAATAAAAGATTTCAAGTCACCTATCAAGTCTTCAGATGAGTTGGGGAAACACAAGCAATACTTACTGAGTGAACTAATTTTAATTTTCTTCATTAAGTAAGACAGAATTCTGATTTATAACTAACACACCCACTCAACATTGCTTATATATCTAACAGGAAAAAAACTGCATTATAGAATCATGTATTCAAATAGTATGGGACTAAATGTAGTGTGTGTTTTGTCTAATAATTACTAGCCACTTTTGAAACTCAGGAGTCACTCAATAATAAAAACCAATACTTTTATGTGTACTACCAATTTTAAATGTGAATTTTCTGGAATGAAGCTGGACTTTAAACTGGACACTTTAACTATGTCTAAAAATTTGGTTATCTCAAGTTGCCAGTGTCTGATTTCCAACATTTCTGGAAGCTCTGAAATGGGTAAAATGACAAACAACTTAAAAAGTAGAATACTAGAATGATCAACTAAGGTGAACACTACAGTCATAAGTTGGTACAGGCTTCTATGAAAACAGTGTGAACCACTTACGAACAGAGTTTAGGCAGTGCATGTTTTTTAAAAAATAGTATTTTTTTAAACAATGATTCCTGATAATGCTATACTACTTTTGTGCCTTTCCAATTTTCTTCACATGGGTAGAATTAAAAGCCCTAAAGTATTTCTTGCTAAATAAAATTTAAAAATTTCTTTTGAAAAGAACATTTTTTGTTGCTGTTGTTCTTTTAAGAAGCCTTTTAGATGGCAAGTCTATATATTGGGAAAACCCACTTAAGATGTACTTCACACACCCAAACCCCAAATACCACCTATACAGATGATGTATGGAGATTTGGCCTTTAAAGTGGGTGCATTTACATTTAAAACAATTTTTAAAAATATATTTAATCAATATTTTCTGATTGACTCATTTTTTAAAAGTATAAAAAAATAGATAAGCAGTTGGCAATGTAACAAGGATACAATCCAATGTGTTCACAGATTGGTTACCTGTGAGACTGGTGCTTTAACATGGGGTGGAATTCCAGAGGAAGAAACAGTACCACTAGGAGGCAGGTTTTTACTGGTCACTGAAGCCCAGGAGAAAGCCTGCAGGAAATGCAACAAACCTAGACTACTAATCATGGAAAACCACCAACATTCCTATAGGGAAACTTTCAAATATATATATTTTTTTCATTTCTAAACTATTGCTCTACATTGAAGGACTCCTGGAAGAAAGGCACACACACACATGCCAGTCTATGTGCCAGCTTTCAAAATCTCAATATGCAAGATTTATGACTGTATGTTGTCTGAACTAAGTAATACCACACTAAGGTCCTACATACTCTAAGTAGTGAGTAAGTGGCAAACAAAACCACTAACAACTACAAACGCTTGAAAATTTTTAATCTAACGGAAGCAATTTCTTTCCTTTTTTGTGGGAGCACAGGGTGTGATGATGTTAAGGGGAGAGTGGAAGAATAGGAAAGAAGAGAATACTAGGTGGAAATTGTGCAAACATTCACAGACTCAACAAGGATTCTCCTCTTACTACCCAAATATATTTTAACCTCTTTAAAGAGATAAAAAGACTTTTAAATAGGCTTAAACAATACATTATGGGTGTCATTAACCTTTCTAAGATAGTTTAATAATAGTAGTAAAAATATTGATCCCATTTAAACCAGAAATAACGTACATCTCTGTTAGGTTTTACTTAAAATCTACGCTTACAAAAGTCCAAATGAAAAGGCAGTCGTATATATAAACCTATTAAATACAGAGAAGGGTTAGTCTTAAATTCTAAATTTCAACCATACATATGGCTTTATGTTGGGCATAAAAGCAACCAAATTTCCTCAGATAATAAAAAACCTCCAGCTTCTTTCATACATACATATATACAAATACACAATTACTATATTAAGGTATTTATCATAATAAACATCATGCTTCAGTTATGGCTCCAAACATAAAAATGTTAAAGGCCTAAATAGTTTCCTTTGATCTAACCTTTGGTGGTTCTTGTGGCAGGGAAACAGGCTCTGCAGGAGGGGGAGAAGTAGACTTCTCCTCTAAGTCGTCTAAGTTTTTCTCCTCCACTTGTGGTTTCAGTTCTTCAGCCTTTGTTTCAGATTCAGGCTCAGGTTCAGGCTCATGAGAAGATTCTTCCAAAGGTTCTTCTATGCCATTGCTACATAAAATAATTTTATTCACTTTTCATTAAGAATGAAATCATCAGTGTAAAAAAAATCTGTCTTTAAATTAATGGGCATAATTAGTTACATGCCATTAAGTTCATAAAGAACAAGCAGGATTCCTCAAATTCTATTTTCAAATAGAATTAATTACTGGATTATATAAAAATGTTTACTCTGGTGCTATTATTTCTAAATATAATAAAAAAATAGTATTACTTTCTGTGGCTGCATTATCAGTTACTAATCACTATTTTGGGCCAAATCACATTGAGCCTTTAAATTATACAATTTTTTTTTCAAATACATAGGTACTAAAATAAATAGGTATATATTTATGTAAAATAAATAGGTATGTATCTTTTCAAATATACAAGTACTCAAATAACTAGTGTCATAATTTTAGGAGGGAAAAAAATCTACTTCCAGCAGTAACTCAAGAGACAAAAATTAAAAAAAAAAAATATATATAAAAAGAAACAAAAATAATCTTGCAATTCCTAACTGTTTAGACAAAATTTAACCTTATAAATACTATTCTTACGCCACAGGGTGAGCTTCATAGTAACCACTATTGGCATTTTCTTGTACAGGTTCAGGAGATGGTTGCCTTTCTTCTTGTTCTTCTTCCACTTCATCTTCTGATTCTGACAATATATAATGTTACCATAAATCTCTTTTTAAGAAGCTTAACACAATTTTGATACACATTCTTTAATAGTTTTAAGGCCATGAAAGAAAGCTGTTAATGATGGTAAAATTATTGGCAAATTTTAAAAAGGCATTCAATTGCAACATATCATTATCTATCCTCTCACAAAAAGTTTAGCACAAACACAATGAAATTTACCTTCTTTAAAAAAAAAAAATAATCAAGTATCTACTAGCAGAGAGAGCTCTGGTATCCTACTTGATAGAGTGTTGCACTGCCAACCCAAAGAATGGTTAGAACCCAGCTGCTCCAAGGAAGGAAGATGTGCAATCTCCTCTCATGTGATTTACTGAGGATCAGCTGAGTTGGTTCCAACTTGATGGCAGTGAGTGATTCATAATCAAAGAAGGAGAAGGATATGATTCAATCCATGATTCAGTTTCCTCTGTCAAATCTTGTCTACAGAGGAATAAACCACCACCATCAAAACATTCTATATAGTTATGTATTTATATATGGTTACAAATACGTGAATGCAGATTTGTGTCTGTATGTAGGTACAGGCATAGATACTTCCTAGTTATAACCAAATACTTTGCAGGGTTGGTTTTATGAGTCTGAAAGATTAGAATCATATTCTTACAGGGCATATAGGTAAACTGACATAGAATAGTTCAAGTTTTGTGATATGGAAGTTTGGTGATTAGTCTAGGGTCTTAAAAGCTTGTAAGAGGGGCCATTTAAGACACACTAAATGATTTCTACTCTTCTAGAGAAAAAGAAATAAGGAAACCAAAGCCTCAAAGAAGAAATTAGTCTAAAGGACAAATGGTCTATAGAGAATCATGGTCTCATCCACGCTGAGACCAGAACTAGATACTGCCATGAATACCTGTTCTAACCAGGCAAACATAGTTGTACAGTTCTGGGACTGGTGGGGTTTTTCTCACCACTTTTTATAATGATTTGTATGAAAGTCATAATTTCATTTTGAAAGTATTGAGGTGACAAAGAGTTGCTGCAGTCAGATGCCATCTAGTGGACTGTAATTCAAAGCAAGCAAATGCAGGAGATCGAAACTTTTCTCCACTCTGTGGCATTTTCATAATCCATAATCTCCACTTTTCTTTTTTTTTTTTTGCTTTAACGCTGATAAATTTTATTAAGACTTACAGATATTTAATTCTTGAATTTTCTCATTGACCATTAAAACTATAAATGAAATACTATGCATTTTTAAAATATAATGTCAAATAATTCCCACTGTTTTTTAAATTTTGGTTTTACTTATTGAGATGTTAATGAAAGTTTACAGAGAACTTGTATTTCCATTCTTTCATTGTTGCACAATCTCCACTTGTCTTGAACCCACTGTCACAGTAACTGTATCAATCGATTCTGTTGAGAGTCTTCTCCTTCCATGACTCTCCATCTTTCCAAGGATTGGCCCCTCCTGACATGTCCAAAATAAGATGAAGCATCACAACCCTTTGTTTCTTAGGAGCACTTTGATTACACCTTATCTAAGACAAGTATGTTGTTGCTGTGTACTGCCGAGTTGGAACCAACCCAACTCTTGTGGGTTTTCAGAGGCAGTTTATTGCTCATAAGGAGACTGTAGATCTTTCTCCTACAATGCAGCTAGTGGATTCAAATAGGGTACCTTTGGATTGCCAATGCAACCTTACAACTTGGCCACCAGAGCTCCCTAACAGACAAGTATTGTTGTTAGGTGCTGTAAAGTATGATCCATAACGACCCTATGAACAACAGATCTGAACCCTATCCTGTGCCATCTTAACACTTCCTGACACACCAGAGCCTATTGTGGCACTCACTGTGTCAATCCACCTGATCATGAGTCTTCCTCTCCTTCACTGAGCCACGCATGATGTTCTTCTCCAAGAACAGTCTCCTCTTTCAACATATTTGAAGAAGGTTAGACAAAGCTTAATCATCCTGGCCCCCAAGGAGCGCTCTGGCTGAACCCTTTCCAAGACATACGTGTTTTGTTCTGCTGGCCATCCATGGGATGTTCAGTACTCTTCTCCAATACCATAGCTCAAAGTTATCAATTCTTCTGTCATCTTTATTCACTGACCAGCTCTCAGATGCACAGCAAATGATTAGAAAGACCATAGCCTCAATCAGATGCACTTTAGTTCTCAAACTGACTCATTACTCAGTAATTTGGAGAGGTTCCTAATTGCAAACTTTTTCAGTACAATACATCTCCTGATTTCCACACTGCTGGTATGAAATGATCCAAGTAAGATGAAGTTGTTCAAAGTTTCAATCTTTTCTTCATCTATCATGATTCTAACACAAAGATACAATCTAGGAATAGGTACTAAACTCTTGGTTATCTATAGAAGCTGAAATTAAAAGGAATGTTATCATTGTCTATGCCACATTATCTTTGTTAATGTCTAGAAAGAAGACAGAGAATTTGACTCAGTTACAAGAAAAAGGAATATATATTTCATAGTTCAATATGTTTATAAACTTATTATAAACCTTTCTATGTTGGAAGTAGCCTCACCTTCATCAAGTTCAGGTTCAGAATCTCCAAACACTTCATCTTCATAACGAAACATATCATTGTGAACATAAAACTTGTTTGGAACAGAACCCTATAGGAAGACAATATCCAAATATCCCCATAAATATCTATAAAATTGGCATTATCTAAAGAAAACAAGCTACATGGAATATAAAGTGTGGATACTAAAGAAATAACATGGACTCAATTATTAAAGTTGAAGATGCTATGTTGTAAATTTAACTAAAAATCATCACCCAAATTGGAACTCGAGAAAGGGTTACTTAGAAGTTAGACTAGGACCAACTGAAAAAATGGCACTCTGACATTTCATTTTCAGTATGCAACTTTATGAAATACAACATTTTTACTATCGTGTAAGTTTAACTATCCATATACATACCTTAAACAATATGCAATTTTTTTAAAAAAAATAAATTTTATTTTAGTGCGTGTGTGCGTGTGTGTGTGTGTGTGTGTGTGTGTGTGTGTACTGTCAAATCAGATCTGACTGGTACTGGAGGAGATTACCCCTCCTTCTCTAGCAGAGCATCTGGTGAATTAGAACTGTATACTTCTGTGACTGCAGTGCAGCTTCTTGCCACTAGGCCACCAGAGCTCCCTCAATATGCAACTTTTACTTTCATTTATGAAATTACATTAATGGTTTTAAAACAAGTTTCTACAAAATAGTAACACCCTCAATTAAAATCAATTAAATTCTTAAGACAGTTCAATTAATCACTAAAGCTAAATGAAATCACAGAAATGAAAACAAAGTGAAATAAAAACTTACTTCAGGAGCCAGAACAAAGGTTTGCATAAACTTCCTCTCTGGCTGTCCACTGTTAGACAGCAAACCCATGACCTGCACAACTACTCCATCACTCAAGGTTGCATGAGCATCCACGTGACGAATTTTTGTATGACATTCACTGAAGTTCAGAGATAATACTTTGTGATGTATATCCTTTATTGAGGAGAAAGGGAAAAATACCAACTCTTAAAAACTGAGCTACTTACTAGAGTAATCCACTGATTTTACACAACTCTGGAACATTACTTAATTATCATTTAAATGTCCTCTATCATCTTCCTTCTTCACCCTAAATAATTTTCAACATATCACCTCTCTAAACAAGAAATTACAATGGCTTGCTGATAATATTATGTAATAACCTGCACTTTATACATCTTTCTTCCACTTCTTATAATAAACCTTTAGTCACTAACTTCTGAATGTTCTTCAAATTTACAACATTTCTATGGTTTGCTGAAACCATTTCTTCAGAGATTCTCCCTGCTTGGTTAAGGCCAAACCCTATACTTTGAAGTCATCTTAGCTCTATACCCTCCACAAAGTCTTTCCCTGTATGTCAAGATACTCATGTACATCCCTAAAACACAGGTTAGCTTGTATACTTAAAGCTTTAGTACAATGTTTCAATTATTTCATGTATAAAATGTAACAAGGATATAAACAATATATCTTTTTATTCTATCAGTTATCCACAAAAAAAATACATGCTTAAGAATTCAAAAGACATCTGATAATTATGGAACTATCCAGGAATAAGTAATGACAATGTCACAAAAAGATAAATCCATGGGCACAAAAAAGGCTATTTTCCCAAATAACTATGAGATATTATCTCACCCCAGTAAGAATAGCAAAATGTAACAGAACAGCAAACATCAAATGTTGGCGAGGTTGTGGAGAAAATGGAACCCTTATTCACTATTGGTGGGAGAGTAAAATGATGCAATCACTATGGAAGGTGGTATGGTGCTTTCTCAAAAAGTTGTACATAGACATACCTTTTGACCCAGCAATTCCACTACTGGGAATATACCCTAAACAAACCATAACTGCCACACAAGCAGATATATGCACACCCATGTTTACTGCAGCTTTGTTCACAATAGCAGAGAGTTGGAAACAGCCCAAGTGCCCATCAACAAAGAATGGATAGAGAAGTTGTGGTATATTTACACAATGGAATACTATGCTGCAGTGAAAAACAAAGAACTCATGAAATATTACACAACATGGGTGACCCTGGAGGACATTATGCTGAGTGAAATATCTCAGTCACAAAAGTACAAATACTGCATAGTGACACTGTTGTAAAACAGGACTAACACTGGGGTTTAGGGGAGACTGAGAAAGAGGGGACAAATAATGTATACTGCATTGAAACAGATGAGAGAGAGAACTGTTTAAAAGGAATATATGATTAGGTATTATTATCATGACAGAAGTCCAGAATGTTGGCTGCATAGTGGAGTGGACTTGGGGGGGGGAGGGATTGTATAACAATGAAAGAATTTTTCTTTTATTTTTCAAAGAGAAGAACGAATTGAGGGGTGGGGTGAGCAGGGAGAAAAATGCATTAATGAATGAATGGAAATCCAAAGTCTCTGTAAATGTTCATTAAAATTAGTAATAATAATAATAATAATAAAGGATGCAGATGCATGGGCTCTCATGCCCATGTGATATCAGAAAAAATTCTCTACAAACGGAAAACTTTGGGAAAGGATGACGAATTCCAGCTTTCCAAAATCCATAGAAGTATCATCAGATTTCCTTGAAGCTAAAGAAATCTGTATATAAACAATATTTCATTTTCCCGACAGGGCAGGAGGTAGCCAGTGGTTACAGAGCTTAAAAACAAAAAAAGCAAAAAACCCCTATTTTTCAATTCACAAAAAATTATATCTCAAATATGCATGAAGTAGATACTTACATTTTGGCCATAAACAGCTTCTTGGGGCTTCCCACTAGCATCTACTCCACCATGAACATAGGAAGAATTCCTGCCATAAAACCTGTGAAACCATTGAAAATAATAATCAACATAAAATTTTCACAAAGTCTAACAGGCAACAGAGTTCTGGTGCTAAATAGTTTTGGCTCTATCACTAATTAGTTGTGTGATCTTGATGGCAAATTACTTAAAATCTAGGTTATAAAACAGAACAGTAAATAACTTCATGTTGCAAGGATTAAATGAGAGAATGCATGCAGAATGTTTAGTATAGTGTCTAGCTCACTAATGAGACACTCAATTAGCTATTATTATCTAATTCTTATATGTGAGACTAAGACATGCAAAGCACACACTATAGTTTTATAATCTTCTTTGGACTGAAAAAAAAAACACCCAAAACTAATGACAAACCGAACTCAGCTTTCTAAATTTTTTTTGGGAAAGATACACTGTTTAACATTCTACTTAGAATTCCAAGAAACTACTAATCCAAAGGCTTAGACTAAACTATCAGAAATAATTCAGAGACCAAGTAGAAAATCAACTTTTATTTCAACAGCTAATTTCTCACTAATATTTCTATATTGCTCTTAAGTACATGATAAATTCCTTGGTATTACACCTAAGTAGAATCAACATTCTTCAAAGGTTATAAAAAATGCAAAATTAATTTTTCATAAACACAATCCAGCTTCTTGTATGTCAAGTAATGTTCTCAGTGCAATATGTACTGTATATCCATCCACTCAACCCTAGTAACTTCATGAAATAAGGGCTATTATTCCTATTTTACAAATGGGCAGACTGAGGATCATAAGGTTAAAATAACTCACCTAAGGTCACACATCTAGCAAGTGGGAGAGCTTAACACTCGTGACCAGACAGTGTGGCTCCAGAGACCATGCTTTTAACCACTGCGTTTTATTATTTTTTAAGGTTAGAGTATTTTCCCTCATATAACATTGGCAAGCAAGTAGACTGGTATTTTGGGGGAGGATAACCTGGCAATACATATGTATGTATGTCTATGTGTGTGTGTTTTTGTTTGTGGGTATGTGTATGAAAAGCCTTAGAAATTATCATACCTTTGATGAAACAATTCCACTTCTAGGAACTTATCCTAAGGAAATAACTAGAAAGGTGCACAAAAATGCATGTTTAAGGATATTCAATACAGTGTTGTTTATAACAAGTGAAAATTTACAAATATCCCAAATTTCCATTAATAGGGAAATTGATTTAAGTAAGCAAAGTATAAAACAAAATTCCACACTGTCATTGTAAAAATGAAGGTGTAGAGCTTTGCTTTAAATTTTACTTTACAGAATACAAGAAGAAATTTTCTTTACTTTAAAAAAAAAAATACAACGCAGCTATTATTTATATTGTAAAAAGATTAATTTTAAGATATTGAGAGGCCCTATTATCTGCATTCTTCCCAATTCCCTTATACACTGTTACCAAGAATGCTTTTATCATTGGAAAAACGTACAATTCTTTGCTTTTGTGGAGAAGGCAGGCAGACATACTAGTTGTACTTCATAGATACTGTATTGTTGGGCTCTGGAGTCAGAACTGGGTATGTATACTGGCTAGGGCTAGCTCACTCACTTACTGAGTGATCTTTGATGTATTAATTACTAAATCTCTCTGTGCCTCAGCTCTCCCATCTGTAAACTGGGATAATAAGCAAATGTATAGTGCTCAGATTATATTAAATGTAACAAATATTAAATATTAAAAGAAACAAATTAGTAAGATCTGGTGCCCTAGTGGCAAGAAGCTGTACTGCAGTCCCAGAGGTATGTGGTTCAAATCCACCAGATGCTCTCCTGGAGAAGGATGAACAATCTCCTCCTGTACCAGTCAGATCCGATTTGACGGTACAAGCAAAAAATAAAATAAAATAAATAAATAAAATTAAAAAAAGAAACAAATTATAAAACCTAATTTTAGAATGTTCAGTGTACTTTTAACAAAGGCATGCAAGTCTTAACAGATACCCCAAATAAATTGACAATGATACTTTTCTTTCTCCTTGACTCACTTGGCTAGTGCACTCTATAACAAATTCAGTAAAACCAAAGAAAGAAAAGTGTAAGATTAAATACTGTCAAAGGTGAAGAAGGCATGGAAAATGAAAGCAGTCCTGGTTTTCACAGGTTACACTATACTTAGAAAACCTTACCTATCTTCTACTTGCTAAGATAAATCCTTAAGAAGGAAAATCAAACATCATTCACATGTTTCTATAAAATTAAAATATCCCATTTCAATCTTGCGGGGGGAAAAAACAGGCTTATAAATGTTCCACATTCAAATACAGTGGGACCAGAAAAAGGCAACATTTACATCCAGTGCTATTTGACAGATCAAAATAATCCAAATTTTTCAAAGGCTATAATCACTTAATCGATTAGTTTTTCCAAGAATGTTTTGAAGATCTTTTTAAAGACAATAAAAGCCAGTGGTTTCAAGTTTCACACTGTCATTCATTAGTTGATTAAGTCCAAGATTTTGCTTTTAATGAACTATGTATTACCAGAGTATATATGCAAATTACAGACTCACATAAAATACCATTTTACAAAGCCTTTTCAATTACATACAGATGCTAAAGTATTATGAACTAATGCACAAAGTGAACTTTTCTGTAAAAAAAATTTTTTAAAAAATACTGGCTAAATCATGCTTAAAATGCTGGCTATGATTTAGAAATATTAAGAAAGATACTGTCAGGATATAAAGTGACAAAACATGGAGCCATATTTAAGGAAAAATATAATAAAATTTACCTGTGCAAATATTCTGGAGCTTTATTCAGCAAAGTATAATATTGCCTCACGAACTCCCGCCCTACAAGCAGCGGACTCGGCTTCTCCATAACCATTTCTTTGCTGCACAATGTCAAATGCTAAGGGAGCAAAACACAAAATACAAAGTCATCACTGCAATTACCATGAGACAAATCTTCTTGGCTACACAAATGGAAATGAAACTTATTATAAAATAATATATGAAATTTTTATATTTATTAAAATATTAAAAAGTAGTTAACAATTCTCTACTATTGGTTGTCTCCAAAATTTAAATCGGCCAAGATATAGTAAAATAAATGACATTAATGTTTTTTGTTTCCTACCTTATAAAAAAAAATTGCATTACTGATGTATCAGAATATTTTATGTAATTTCTACCTCTTACCCCTTCTATAAAAGGGGAAATATCATTGTTTTCTTTCCTTTTTCCAATAATCTAGTACTTCCACAGATTAAGAACATCCTAGCCAAATACTTCAATCACAATGTCTCTTTCCTTTGGAGACTATAATCTCCTAGTTTCATTAATTCCAACAGTTTACTTTGGAAAAACAGGCAGGCAGAATAGGTCAAGAATTGCAGGCTATATGCATATGGAAAGCACTATCTTCATGCCCTCTCCTTCAGAGGATTATCTGGAACAAACTATGATAATGATTACGAACAGCAGCCCATCATTCAAAGAAGTCATTATACCTGGTGTTATCTCTTCTAAACGTTTATTAGAAATTGACCATAATCTCCTGATTATGGTAAACAGATATTACTCTGGAAAACAAAATAGTCTCTAGTCCTGAATGAACTTACAGTTGGCCAAGGAATATAAAAAAGAAACAGGAAACTCAATAGGATAAGTTAGGTGCTGTATCAGTGCAAGTAGCCCCCATAAGCTGGAACCTCAAACACAAGAACAAGATAAAAACACAAAAGCACATCCTTTGTTCATCATTTACTTTGTTCTGATAGCCCTAAGAACACGGAAAATTTCAGTAACAATATGGTTGTTGTTGTTATGTGCCGTCGAGTTGCTTGCAACTCATAGCGACCCTATGTACAAGAGCCCTAAACGCTGCTCTATCCGGTGCCAACCTCATTCCCACCACTCCACTCACAGAATCGATCCATCTCATCGAGGGTCTTTCTCTTCTGTGCCGTCCCTCCACTCTCCCAAACATGATGTCCCTCTCCAAGGACCAGTCCCTCCTTGCAACATGCCCAAACTATGTCAGATGAAGCTTCAGAATCCTGGATTCCAAGGAGCATTCCGGCTTCACCCTCTCCAGGACAAACCTGTTTGTTCTCCTAGCAGTCCATGGTATATTCAACACTATTCTCCAGTACCACTGTTCAAAGGCATCAATTCTCTTTGTATCATCCCTAGTCACTGTCCGACTCTCTGATGCATAGCACGTAACTGCAAAGACCATAGCCCAGATAAGGTGCACCTTAGTCTCCAGCCTGATGTTGTTGCTCTTCAGTACTCTTAAGAGGTCCCTGTGAGCTGACTTTCCCAATGCAATTTGTCTCTTGATTTCCTGGCTGCTGGTACCAAGAGTCTTGACTGTGGAGCCAAGTAAACTAAAACTGTTAATTATCTCAATCTCTTCACCATCCATACTGATGCTGTCAATTGGCCCAGTGGTGAGAATCTTTGTTTTCTTGATGTTGAGCTTCAATCCGTACTGAAGGCTGCAGTCCTTGACCTTCTGCAGCAAGAGCTTCAGGTCATTTTCTGCAAGCAGGGTTGTGTCATCTGCATAATGCATGTTGTTGATGACTCTTCCACCAGTCCTGTAGCCACATTCCTCTTCATGCAGCCTAGCATCTGTTCCGCATACAGAGAGAAAAGGTATGGAGACAGAATACATCCCTGACGGACCCTCTTCTTGATTTTGAACCATGTAGTGTCTCCTTGCTCTGTTCTGACAACTGCCTCTTGGTCCAAGAATAGGTTTCGCATTAGCACAATCAAATGTTCTGGGATTCCCATTCTTCTCAGAGTCAGCCATAGCTTTTTGTGATCACACAATCAAAAGCCTTTGCATAGTCAATGAAATACAGCTAGACATTCCTCTGGTATTCTCTGCTTTCTGCCAAGATCCATCTAACATTAGCCACCATCTCAGGAACAGGTTTGAGGCCTTGAGCCCCAATGAGAGTAGACCAAATGAGCTCTGGGAGGATATCAAGAAAATCGTCCATATAAATGCAAAAGATCATAACAAAGGCTGAAGAAAAAGAAAAGACCAAGATGGATGTCAGATTAGACTCTGAGTATTGCATCAGAGCACCAAGAAGCCGAAGCTAAAGGAAGAAAACAAGAAATCAAAGAGCTGAACAGAAAATTCCAAAAGGAAGCTTGGGACGACAAAGCAAGATACTATAATGAAATGTGCAGAGAACTGGAGTCAGAAAATCAAAAGAGCCGAACTTGCTCAGTGTTTCTTAAGCTGAAGGAGCTGAAAAACAAATTCAAGCCACAGGTGGCAATACTTAAGAATACTTTGGGTAAAACGTTAAATGATTCAGGAAGCATTAAAAGAAGATGAAAGGAGTACAGAGTCACTGTATCAGAAGGAATTGGCTGACATAGAAAAATTTCATGAAATAACATAGGAGCAAGAGCCTGTGGTGATGAACAAGGAGGAAGTTCAAGTTTCTCTAAAGGAACTGGCAAAAAACAAGGTTCCAGGAATTCATGGCATACCAATTGACATATTTCAACAAACAGACGCTGCACTGGATGTGCTCACTAAGTTATGCCAAGAAATCTGGAGGACAGCCAGCTGGCTAACTGACTGGAAAAGGTCAATATTTGTTTCCATTCCAAAGAAAGGTGACCCAACAGAGTGTGGAATATCAAACAATATCGTTAATATCACATGCAAGAAAGATTCTGCTGAAAATGATCCAAAAGTGATTTTAACAATATGTCAACAGAGAACTGCCTGATGTGCAGGCTTGATTTAGAAGAACAGGTACAAAAAATTTAATTTTGTCAAACCAAAATAACCCAGCATGCATTTCCATTACACTTACAAAGAGTACCAAAAAAAAATCATAATAAAGTAGATATATATTTAAATTTGTTAAGCAATTCTTTATAAGTCAATATGGATTTCTTTTAAACAAAAATTTCACAACCAAAGACAGCCCACTATAATTATGACAATGACATGCTATTTTTAATCTGATACCAACTATATAGCAGAGACTATCATTACACTGTAATTAGTCTCACTGTAAGTAGGATCCAACTCAAAACAGCACCTAGGTATAACAAAATGAAGCCCAAGGCAACTAAAACCAATATGGCCATGAAAAGTTAAAACTTTCCTGTTTCATGATTTTCTAAGTTGCAACCTGACATGGGTTTGTATAGTTAAGCCTACAGGATTACTCAGTCCCACAAAAATAGCTAAGATTCAAAGATACTTTCATGTAAAATGTAGGACTTGCTGATAGCCGGCCAAGTGGCTAAGTAGTTGCACTGACAATCTAAAGGCAGGCTGTTTGGATCTACCAGCAGCAGAGAAAGATGGGCCATCTCCTGCACGTTTTACAATCTTTGAAAATCCACTGGAGATTCAGCTATAAGTCAGTTTGTAAATTACGAAATAATGATCCAGAAAAGTCTAATTTTTTCATTGCCATGTTGTTGTCTTGGGTTAATTCAGATTTGTGGTTACTGTATGTTAATCAGTGTAGAATTGTGGTATATAAGCTTTTCATGACTGGGGCCTTTCAGAGATCACCAGGCCTGTCTTCTGAGGTATCTTTGGACAAGTTTATACTGTCACCCAAATTATAACTGGATATATTATCAGAAGTAACAAATATCTGGAGGAAGACATTATGCTTGCTGTATTAGAGGGTTAGAGAAAAGGATGAAAACCCTCAACAAGGAAGGCCTGTGAGTTGTATTGTGTGAAGAAAAGGACTAAATATTTCAGGGACTGCTAAAAGAACAAATATATCTTGGGCCAAGTGCAGCCAAAGTGTTCCTAAGAGGCAAGGATGGTGAAACTTAAGCTTTGTCTCATATACCTTGGAGCATGTTGTTGGAAAAATATGCTTAGAAAGGCGGAGAGTTAGTGCAGGAAGGGTAGGTCCTCAATGAGATGGACTGACACAGTGACTAAGTAACAATGAGCTCCAGTGTATCAGAAAAGACAAATATAGTGCAGGGTTCAGAACTGCTGCTCATGGGGTTACTATGAGTCACAGTTGAAGGCATCTAACACCTCAACAAGATGGACTGTCATGGTGGTTGCCAACAGTGGGTTCAATAAAAGTGGCAACTGGGAGGATGGCACAAACCACAAGCAATGTTTCATATTGTTGTACATAGGTGCTATTAAGTTGGTTCCTACTTTCAATGATGCTAACTGCAAGGAAGTTTATTTGGGTTTTACACGTAAAATGAGTTTTCAGGTCGCTGGCTTACCTCCAAAGGTAAGTTAGATTATCATTTAAATTTTTCAGAAAAAGGGATATTCCATGTATGTCTCTCCTAAAGAGACATAAAAGTGAGGAGACTGCTAACTGACCAGAATGTGTGGTACATTAGCTCTATACTCTGAAAAAATCTTTTACTTCTCAAATAAAAGAAACAGCAATCTACTCAACCATATTACAATTTTAAGACATCAAGTTCCCCCACTATTTATAGAATGTTAATTACTTCAGAGATAGGGCCAATTTACTCTAAATTTTGCACCTTCAAAAACCTCTGCATATCTTCATTAATATCTATTTGCTCCTATTTCAGAGTAAGTTTCCTCTCCATTTGTCTAGACTAATTCCTGAAGCAATGAAGAAAAACTCCTACCTCTCAAGGAAAATTGCTCCATTCACACTGTTATCTTTCTGGTCATCTCTAAATAACATTGAGAAGTTAGTGAAGAAATTTTTTAAATGCACAATTTAAGAGAAGAGGGAGAATCACACTGATTTATTAGTTTTCCATAATATTCTAATATTTCCAATATAACTTGAAGAACACACACAGACACAAACAAAAAGTCTTGTTATCAGTCTAAGTTATCTTTTCTTACCTTGGCTAAACTTTCAAATTTTAGATATGAAATTGTTT